GGTCCGACAGGCTGTGGCTGGAAAAGATCCACAACTATAAGAGGCGGTGCCGAGCGGATCAGCCCCGGGACGCGTTGCTGTGTTTGCAGAACTTCCTGGTTCTTTTCTTCCCTTTGTTCTGTTAATATTCTGGTTCTGAGGCCAAACAGAACCGCTGCTGGAGCAGAATTCCCTCCAGCTGAGAGAAGATGGACAGAACCCAGACCTGGTTCTGAAACCCAGACCTGGTTCTGAAACCCAGACCTGGTTCTGAAACCCAGACCTGGTTCTGAAACCCAGCCTCATCCGACCCGATAAGAGCTACTACTGGGTTCTGGAAGCACTGATACCTGCTCTACTTTCTCAGTTCTGCGTTAAAACCTAGAACCTGTCCTGTTTCCTATCAGAACCTGGTTCTGATCCGGTCTCACTCACCATCATCCTTCACCAGAACCTCCTTCTGGCAGGTGTCCTGGACATTGACGGTGCAGTTGACGATGAAGTCGGGCGTGGCGCAGTCTCGGGACGCCTCACACTGGTAACACTGGATCTGGAGACCCAGTCCTGCAGAGGAAACACCGGGATCAGTGGAACAGAACCAGAACCAGACACGAAGAGAACCTGGAGCTGTTACCCAGGGAACGGACCAGAACCAGAACCACTGAGAGGCAGGACCATGTCAGAGGTTTGTTCTCCTGAACTCGGGTTCTGATCCCGGTCGGACCTTTGACAGACACACGGAGTAAAACTGGAACTGGGAGGTCCTTGGACCTGCAGGTCCTCCTCCTCTTTCTGGACCAGAACCGGCCGACCCGGCTAGGAGGAGTTAGTTTTCCAGGACAGGGAGGAGCTTCATGAGGAGGATCAGACCTGCATGACTCAGGAGGAGCAGCTGAATGAAGTGATGAAGATGATTCACCTTCATCACCAGGTCCATTCTGATAAACGCCGGTTCCTCCAGGTTCTTCTGCCTCCAGAGGAACCGCTCCTCATTCATTCCCAGGATGGGAGCAGAACCTCTGCTGATGGGCTCCACCGGGCAACACGTCGGTTCTGATCCCCGTCCAGGTCCAAACGGACTCCTCCGGTCCAGAAGGGTCCAGAGGCTGAAAGCCTCCAGTCCTGGTCTACTCAGGTCTTCTGTCCCTGAGGATCCAGAACCAGCCTGCTTCTGGTCCTCATCATCTCCTCATCTGTGATGCAGAGACGTCCATCAGAGATCCATCATCCTGAGTCCCCACCATGATGGACACATCTCTCCAGAGGAGAGGACGGTCCAGCAGCTGGACCTGCTGGACGGAGAGCCGTCTCCTGGAGCTCCTCCTGGCCGAGGTCTCCTCGCTGCCCTGGAGAAGTTCTGGAGCTCCTCCTGAGGTCAGATGGTCCATCTCTGCTGTAGATCAGGTCCAGGACAAGAGCTTCTAATTGTCTCCAACTTGTTGTTCTTTCATCTCAGCTCAGAGCTGCTGATGAAGAGGAGGAGGAAGATCCTGCAGGATCAGATTGAGCAGCAGATCTTCTGCCTGATCTCCAGGAAGCTGCTGCGTCCGGAACCAAACGGCTCAGCTGGATCCAGAAGCAGAAAGATCTAAAACAGCTTCTGCTCACTTTGCTCCTTTATGTCCTGCGTGGAAAGTTGGTGTCGTCATGCAGCAGAGGTTCGGTTCCTACCTGAGCCCAACAGGAGCAGCAGCAGAGCGCAGGAGGTCCACATCCTTCCAGCAGGAGTCAGATCCTCCTCCTGCAGCCGCTCCACATCAGCCCTGCTGCGGGTGCGCGGGATGCGCGTGGCCGACGGCAGCGCGTGATCCGATCCTCTGATTGGAGCTGATTCTCCTGCTAACCTTTTATTTCACCGCTCAGTGAACAAAGAACGAGTCTAAACTTTATTACTGATGACAGAGAAAAGCAGAACGAAACATAAATAAATAAACAATAAATAAATAAACAATCAATAAGTAAACAATAAATAAATAAACAACTTTTGACCCAAAGGAGGAAAGTCTGGTTGCTTCAGGAAGTTTCCCCGGGCGGCAGCAACCAGGGGGCGACATCAGCAACAGCAACCATCTGTCAGAGCATTGCTGCGAACTCAGAGCTCTCATCTCTGTTTATTGCTGATTGCCTGTTGGTTGCACAGCTTGAAGTAAAGCCACCGGCAGCCATATTGGTACTCCCTGGTTGTAAACAATCTGCGCTACAGCATCGAATAACGATGTTTTCACTTTCAGGAGGAATTAAGACTTTAAAATAAAGATAAATTCATCAGTTTGACACAGACTGGCTGTTTCACAGCATCAGTAGATTAACTTTAACTTAGAATAAATAAATAAAACCATCTCATTGAATGACGTCTATAAAGCTGCCTGTGATTTACTGCTCTAATCTGCTTCATTGAAGCTTGGATAATTACACATTAAGACATAATTAAACAATCTGAGTGGTTTAAATCAGCATTTATATTTTAATCAAGGAACAAATCAGATCTGCAGGGAGGAGAGGAAGGAAAACCAGGTTGGAACCAAAGCTGCAGCTGAAGCTCTGATCAGTCAGAGATAGTTTCAGTTTTAATTCGTCCTTCTGCTGATGGTGAGCCAGCCTTCCTCCTGCAGACCGCCCTCCGTCTCCAACTGGGAGGAGCTGTCACCCTGCTCTGACCGGCCTCTAGGGGGCGTCGGTCTCTATTTATTGCTTTAGTTGTTTCTGTAATTCCCTAAGGGGATGGATCAACATGCTGAGAGACGATAAAGTGATTTCCATTTATTCTCTGGTTCTGATGGCTGGATTCCACCGGGCTGAACGCCGCTCCAGCGGCGCCTGGTCCGCTCCTCCTTAGTTCGGTCTACCTAAAGCATCTCTGCAGACCCTCCAGGGTGGTCAGGAAGGAGTTTCTTGTTCTCTGATGTTTCGGCCTACTTCATCCTGTCTGACAGGTTCTGTTCTAGATTTCTCTGGATTATCAAGGGGTTGATTACTTTCTAAAGAGGCATCACAGAGTTTTATGCTAATACTGCCACCTGTGGCCAAAACCCAGAACTGCAGCCTTGTTCTGCTGGTTCTGGTAGCTCATAGCTTTTGTTCCTCAGGTGGAGCTGCTGTTGATGTCTGAGCTCACCTGGATGCAGGTGGTCTCTGAGCGTCCAGAAGTCGTTTGCTTGGCGTCACGCCGACCAGCGCAGGAACTTCTGACCCAAAGTAAAGTCTGGAAAACAGGTAACAGGCTGACAGACGCATCGACGGTGAACCAGAGGCTTCAGTCTGATCATCGAACCAGATTTTATTCAGAAAACATCAATTAAAAAGGATAAAAACCAGTTTTATTAAAAACATAAATCATGTCTTTAACGAGGGTGTGATTACTTTTCACACACAGCCGGTGGCTACAAAGTCATTAACAGATAACTCTGATGATGCAAACTCTGTGGGGGTGTGAATCCTTTCTTTGCTGACCCCGCCAGAAAAACTTTAGTCCTTTATTAATGTTGAATGAAACGGTTCTGGTTCCGTCGGGTTCAAAGAGCTTCTCCTCAGCAGAGCAGACCTGGAAAGACTC